CAGTGAGAACAATTAATAAGTGGAACTCCTTGCCTCCAGAAGTTATAAATGCTGCAACACTGGAAGTTTTTAAGAAGATGTTGGATAACCATTTGTCTGAAGTGGTGTAGGGTTTCCTGTCTGGGCAGGGGGTTGGACTAGAAGACCTCCAAGATCCCTTCCAACTCCGTTATTCTATTCTATTAAATAATAATTCATTTAACAACTGTGACAAGAAAGGTTGTAAAATGTTGCAAACCTCACTTAACGGTCTTGCTTAGCAAAGGAGATTTTTGGGGTTGTAAGTCGAGGACTATCTGCAGTAAATTTGTTTATGGAATGAAGAACTTGTCCGTCTCCCACTTCTAATTTGAACATGGAAGAGACGGGAAAAGCTTAGGAGTTTAATGGAAAATAGCGCTTTATACCTTCAGCTTGATTGGCTATACAAGTAGTCCTCGGCTTACGACCACAGTGAAGCCCAAAATTTCTGTTGTTAAGTGAGACATTTGTTAAGTGAGTTTCGCCCCATTTTACGACATTTCTTGACCTTTCATTTGTTAAGTGAATCACTGCGGTTGATAAGTTAGAAACCTGGTTGTTAAGCGAATTTGGCTTCCCCCTTAACCTTTCTTGTCAGAAGGTTGCAAAAGGGAATCTTGGGACACAGCAACGGTCATAAGTATGAACCTGTTGCCAAGCATTCTGAATTTTGATCACGTGATCAACAGGGAGATGCTGGAAAGGTCATAACTGTGAAAAACGGTCCTAAGTCCCCCTTTTTCAGCCCCGTTGTAACTTCGAACGGTCACTAAGCAAACTGTTGTTAAGTCGAGATATTCTTAATCATCCGGTTTTCATGTACTGAGAAAGCAGCCAGAAATGTTTGCCATAACTCTCAGATTCACCGGGCTTGCAAAGCATTTTATTCTAAGCAGGGGTGAAATGTAAAATTTGTTACTACTGGTTCTGTGGGCGTGGCTTGGTTGGGGGAGGGGCTTAATGTGACTAGGTGGGTGTGGCCAACTTTTTTTTTTTTTTTTAACTTTTCAAAGCATTTTTTCTAATGCTTTGAAAAGCCTCTGCCGATCAGGCAACTCAGCTGGGATCGTCGGAGACTTTTCAAAGCAATTTTTTTTACCAGCTCTTCGGCCAAGAGGTTGCAGAAAAAAATGCTTTGAAAAGCCTCTGACGATCCCAGCTGAGCCGCGCGATCATCAGAGGCTTTTTTTTTTTTTTAACTTTTAAAAGCATTTTTTCGTCGGAAGTGGTTGTAGAAAAAATGCTTTTAAATGTAAAAAAAGGAAAAAAGCCTCTGATGATCGTGCGCTCAGCTGGGCATGGTGGGGTGGGGGGGCACAGGGATTTTTGCTACCGGTTCTCCGAACCACCCACCTCCATCGCTACCGGATCGGGCGATCCGGTCCGAACCGGGAGCATTTCACCTCTGATTCTAACTCAAATGAGGCTGGTTAGTTTGTGATTTAGCACGTTTTTTTTTTTAGCCTGTTATGTGATGCTTAAGCTATAATACAGTTTAACTGCTCAGTTACTCTACATGTACATGCCCCGTGAATACATCCATTTGGTTAAGCGTGATTTATTAGGTTCTACGAATGCAGCCACCTGTCCTTTGAACCTGCCAGAGAGCTGTTCATTTCTGATTAGAAACGAGCAAATTTTGTTAAGAAAGCGACTTCCCTGCAGCTGGACTTGGATCAGCGGCAGAAACTCTCTGTCTGCTCCACAGCTGGACCTTTAAACCCGTGAACTGAAGGCTGGGGGGGAAAAAAATAAGAATAAAGGAGGAAAGTTTTAAAAGGATCCAGTTTTCTATCCACCCCCTTTCTAAGTCTTTGAAGTAGGCAACCGTGGAGATTGATGGCTTCAACAGCTGGGTTGTAGAAAGACAACCCATAATACACGTTTACTGATGGGGTCCCCCAGAGGCGCTCGGGATCTTCCTGTTAAATCCCAAACTGGTTTCACTTTCTCCCCTAAAGGAAGCCGTGCCATTGTTCAGTCTTCCTCAAGTAAATATTTTGGAATTTCTAATTTTCCTAAGAGGCTTACGGCGAGTCTAGAGAGAAGAAGGATTGGGGGTTGGGGGGGGGGCATGATAGCAATCTTCCAGCATTTGAGGGGCTGCCCCAAAGAAAAGGGGGTCCACTTATTCTCCAAAGCACCAGAAGGCAGGACAAGAAACCACGGATGGAAACTAATCAAGGAGAGAAGCAACTTGGAATTAAGGAGAAACTTCCGAACAGTGAGAACAATCAACCAGTGGAACTGCTTGCCACCAGAAGTTGTGGGTGCTCCAACACTGGAGGATTTTAAATAGAGATGGAACAGCCATTTGTCTGAAATGGCATAGGGTCTCCTGCTTGAGCTGGGGGTTGGACTAGAAGACCTCCAAGGTCCCCTCCAGCTCTATTCTGATTGACTTTTGCTGAATCATTAGCTGTCTCAGTTTTACTCTGCATTGGCAGCATAAGGCAACTAAGCTCAAGGCCTTGGTTGGAGAGATCAGAACAAAGATTTGTGAGTTAATTGCTGTAATTATCCCTGAGGTAGGTCTGTCAGAACTTTGAACAGTTGTTAAGCAATTGGTCGTATGTCGAGGTCTACCTTTATATAGGACCTTCTCAGTCAGGCATGTAATTTAGTGTAAGATTCCAAACAGAAGGGGAAAAAATGGTTTATTGATTTTTTTCCCCATTTGCTTCTTTTCCAGAGGCTCTGAGCAGCTTGCAAAGGGCTAGTGCCACGAAATTAAAAACACAGGCAGTCCTTGACTTAAAACAATTCCTTTAGTGACCGTTCAGAGCAGAGGTCTCCAAACTTGGCAGCTTTAAGACTTGTGGACTGGAGAATTCTGGGAGTTGAAGTCCACAAGTCTTAAAGCTGCCAAGTTTGGAGACCTCTGGTTCAGAGCAGGGTGGATTTGATTTAAATCGAGTTGATTTAAATCAACTCGATTTAAATCATAATTTTTAAAGAGCAACTGTCATCTCGGCTACTCCTCTGACCCGCTGTTGACTCACCGATAGTCCCAGTGTTGCAGAATATACAGCCTCCTGCTACATAACTAAGCTCCATTTCATGCTGAATAAACTAAATTATTTATGTATCTTAAATAGAAAACTATCTTACGATAGATTTTTACCCCAACAGTTTTTTATTAAAATAAATTCGATAAAAATAAAAAAAATCTGATTTAAATCAAAAAAATCCGATTTTTTTGGGTTTTTTTAAAAAATCATTGATTTTTATCCACCCTGGTTCAGAGTCACAACAATGCTGAAACATTTAATTTAATTTAATTTAATTTAATTAATTTAGTTAATTCAATTCATATGCCGCCCCTCTCCGAAGACTCAGGGCGGCTCACAGTACATTTTAAAAAATCATTATAAAAAAAAAAAAAAAATTAAAAACGTTAAAAACATTAAAAACTCAAAAAAGTGACTTAAGACCGTTTTTCATACTTATGGCCGTTGCAGCATCCCCAAGGGTCACGTAATTTAACATTCGGATATTTGACAACTGTCTCATATTTATGACAGTCACAGAGTCTCCGGGGTCATGTGATCCCCCTTTGGCGACCTTCCGACAAGCAAAATCCACGGGGAAGCCCGATTCACTTAACAACCGTGTGGCTCATTTAACAACGGCAGTGATTCACTCAACCCAAGCGGCAAGAAAAGTCGTAAGAACAGGGCAAAAACTCACTTGACAAATGTCTCACTATATTCTGGGCTCAATTGTGGTTGTAAGTCGAGGACTGTCTGAAGCAAACCTTCCAGCGATGCACAATAAATTTCAGGCACTTTGTAGGCCTACTTTAAAGTCATTTGAGGTCATTTTTAAAGCTTCCTCAGCAGCCGCCTTAATTATTAAGACCGATGGAATTGACAGCATTTATCTGTTTAAGTATTTCATCTTTAATGCCACCACTCAATGAGTGACTCGGGGCAGCTTGCAAAGAATTGGAACCATTTTAAAAAGCTTCTGGGCGGGATAAATTAGATGCCTCCCACCACTGCTGGCACTTAATGTGGGACCACACGTAAACCTTGCTCAGAGCCTTGTTCCTTCCTGAATTAAAGTAGGATCATGGCCACAGGGCTGGCACACCTTCCGTGGGCCACCACAGGGCATTGTTGAATCAGTGGAGCTCAGAGCCTGCAATAACCCTGTTAGGTTTTAATACATGGATGGGAAGCATTGGGACGAGGCAGCCCTGCAAATAGCCAGCTCCAATCTCACCAAGAGTTTACAAACAACTAGCACCTTGAATTGTGCCCACCAGAACCTCCCTGGTGTAACCAGTGCAATCTGGGAAGGTGTATAGAAGTGTCATCACTGCTGCACTTTGGACCTGATGATGATGATGATAGAATATAATAACAGAGTTGGAAGGGACCTCGGAGGTCTTCTAGTCCAACCCCCTGCTCAAGAATGAGACCCTACATCATTTCAGGCAAATGGCTCTCCAATCTCTTCTTAAAAACCTCCAGTGTTGGAGCATTCACAACTTCTGGAGGCAAGTTGTCCCATTGGTTAATTGTTCCAACTGTCAGGAAATTTCTCCTTAGTTCTAAGTTGCTTCTCTCCTTGATTAGTTTCCACCCGTTGCTTCTTGTCCTGCCCTCAGGTGCTTTGGAGAATAGTTTGACTCCCTCTTCTTTGGGGCAGCCCTGAGATATTGGAAGACTGATATCATGTCATCCCCCATCCTTCTTTTCATTCAACTAGACAGACCCAATGATGATGATGATAATGATATCCATTAAGTCGTATCTGACTCATGGCAATTCTCTGGGCCAGGTCTCTGCCCATCTTCCAATTTGGGAAAAACTTTGGTGCCCTAAGATGTAAAACAGATGCTTCTCTTTTCTTTCAAAACCCTAGCACTTTTGATGCGCCTTCTCTTTCTGGTTTTTGGAATAATATATATATCCTCTGCTAGCATCAACCATATGTAAATAAACAGGAAAAAAAAACCTTTTCTGCCGCAGGTACCCTTTGCGGCGAGGAAGTTCGTTCACGTTTCTAACTCCTGGATCGCACTGGGATTTTAATTTGGTAAGTCAAAGTCAATGGATTTTCTGCTTCCTTTTGTTTGCCCATTGTACCATGTTGGTGCTACAAGTGGTTTTCATGCAAGGCAGAAGTGAAATTATAGCAATGTTTCTTAACCCTGGTAACTTTTAAGACGGGTGGGTATGGCTGGGGGATTCTGGGAGTGGACGTCCACCCATCTTAATGGGTGGATGATTAGGGATGGGAAGATAAAACCTATGAAGAACAGTTGCAGGAATTGAGTATGTCTAATATAAGGAAGAGAAGGGCCTGGATAGCTCAGCAGACTAATGCATTGTAATTAACACCAGCTATCTGCAATTACTGCAAGTTCGAATCTCACCAGGCTCAGGGTTGACTCAGCCTTCCATCCTTTCTAAGGTAGGTGAAATGAGGACCCAGTTTGTGGAGGCAATAAGCTGACTTTGTATAAAAAATATACAAAAGGATGAAGGCTATTGCTTAACGCATTGTAAGCCGCCCTGAGTCTCCGGAGAAGGGCGGCATATAAATAATAATAATAAAAAAGGACATGATAGCAGTGTTCCAGTATCTCAGGGGCTGCCACAAAGAAGAGGGAGACAAGCTATTCTCCAAAGCACCTGAGGGCAGAAGAAAAAGGAATGGATGGAAATTAATAAAGGAGAGAAGCAACCTGGAACCGAGGAGAAATTTCCTGACAGTTAGAACAATTAATTAGTGGAATGACTTGCCTTCAGAAGTTGTGAAAGCGCCAAAACTGGAGCTTTTAAAGAAGAGATTGGACAACCATTTGTCTGGAATGGTATAGGGCAGTGATGGCTAACTTTTTTGCCATCATGTGCCAAAAGTGGGGGGACCGTAGTGATGGGGGGGTCATGCGCAGGTGTGCCCCCCCGGGCATGCGCCTCGCCCCCTGGGCATGCAAACGCAAAACTCCCGCGTGACCATTGCTTTTGGCATGGTGGGCCTGGTAGGCCCATTTTTTGCTCTCCCCAGGCTCCAGAGCTTCTCTAGGAGCCTGGAGAGGGCGAAAACGGCCTTCCCCATCCCTCCGGAGGCTGAAAACAGCCTGTTTGCCGAATTCCTGTCCCACTGGAAGTTGGCAAACGGGCCGTTTCCGGCCTCGGGGGGGTGGGGAAGGCTGTTTTCGCCTTCCCCAGGCTCCTAGAGAGGCTCTGGAGCCTGGGGAGGGAGAACAAAAAAAAAAAAACCCCAGGCCCTCTGGAGGCAGGAAACAGCCTGTTTCCCTACTTACGAGTGGCCCAGAAGGTCCAAAAATCAGCTGGCCGGCACGCACATGCATACTGGAGCTGAGCTTGCATGCCTACCAATATGGCTCCGCCTGCCACCTGTGGCACGTGTGCCATTGGTTCGCCATCACAGGTACAGGGTCTCCTCCTTGAGCAGGGGGTTGGACTAGAAGATCTCCAAGGCCCCTTCCAACTCTGTTATTCTGTGAAAGCATGCTGTATGGGAATTCTGGGAGTTGAATTCCACCCATCTGAAAGCATTCTGGCTGTGGGTGGGGGGGAGGATTCTGGGAGTTGAAGTCCACCCATCTTCAAGTTATCGAGATTGAAGAAATACAGAACCAGAACGTTGGCTTATCTTCATCGCTTTTAGCAGAGCCCTCCATGTCGGTTTCTCCCTCCCACTTCCTTCCCTTTTAATTGCTGGCTGTCGTCCTTTCATCTCGTAAATCAAGGCAGCCTTTTTCCCTGGGGGTTTATCCTCCATTATAACAAAGAGTTTTTAAAAGTAATGCAACCGTATGATCTTAGCTTCCCGCTTTGATCCTGTGGGTCAGCGAGGCGGTTCTTTAAGGCAGTGATCCTAATCTATTGCCATACCCAGGAAAAAGGAAAATTAAAAAAAAAGTTAGAAATCATTCTTTTTGCTTGTCTTAGGGCACCCTCCCAATGAAAAAGGCCTGTTTTTGAAAACCAGGGAGTGCCAAATTTTGTAGCTCTGATATTTCAGTATTTTTATGCCAGAATTGAATAAGGCTGCAAAATCAGCGTTCGTTTAATCCTCGATGTACAACCATAATTGAGCCCCAAATTTTCCTTGCTAAGCGAGACTGTTGTTAAGTGAGTTTTGCCCCATTTTACGACCTTTCTTGCCACCGTTTGCTAAGAGAACCCCTGCAGTCGTTAAGGCGAGTAACCCGGCTGTTAAGCGAATCTGGCTTCCACACGGACTCGGCTTGTCCGAAGGTCGCAAAAGGGAATCGTGACCTCAGGACACTGCAGCTGTCGTAAGTCCATGCCAGTTGCCAAGTGTCTGAATTTTCATCACGTGACTGGGGGGGGAGATGCTGCAAACGTCATAAATGTGAAATACGGTCATTAATCACTTTTTTTCCAGTACTGTTATAACTGCGAATGGTCCCTAAATGAAGTAAGCCAAGGATTACCTGTAATACCATCATTTATTTTTATTTTATTTTATTTTTAAATTTATATACCGCCCTTCTCCCTGAGGACTCAGGGCGGTATACAGCCAGAATTAAAAAACATGAAATACAAATATTAAAAACAATTAAAATATATATATAAATATATATAAATTTGGCCCAAAATTAAAAATACAAACCAATTAAACATTTAAAATGTTCACGTTCCATGTGCTTTGGAACAGGGGTCTCCAACCTTAGCAACTTTAAGACTTGTGAATTTCAACTCCCAGAATTCCTCAGCCAGCTTTGCTGGCTGAGGAATTCTGGGAGTTGAAGTCCACAAGTCTTAAAGTTGCCAAGGTTAGAGATCCCTGTTTTGGAAGATGTATGAAGGAAATCTGGCATCTCCCTGGCCTAATCGGGGCCTCCATTCCGCTTGTAAAAGAATGTCCCCAAAGTGCTTTTTCAGGAGGCAACTGGACTTTCTGGTTTTTTTCTTTTGAAGACGTTTCGCTTCTCATCCAAGAAGCTTCCTCAGTTCTGACTAGATGGTGGGGGAATGGAAGGATTGATATTCCTTGCAGCCAACTGGTCATCTGCATCCTTTTAGAGGGTCATTGGGATGCGATGGCTCAGTGGCTAAGATGATGATGATGATGATGATGATGATGATGATGATGATGATGATGATTATTATTATTATTATTATTATTATTTATTGAATTTCTATACCGCCCTTCTCCCGAAGGACTCAGGGCGGTGAACAGAATAAGATTTCATATACATATATATATATATTATATATAAAACAGTAAATAATAAATTGAGTCAACTTGGTGTATCTGCTAAGACCTTGGCATAGAATTTAGATGTTTATGCTAGCCCTGCTTGTTGAAACAGAAAGGTCTTCAGGGCACGTCGGAAAGTGCGAAGATCTGGGATTATTCGTATTCCAGGGGGTATTTTGTTCCAAAGAGTAGGTACCCCCACAGAGAAGGCTCTCTCCCTTGGAACTACTAGACGACATTGTTTTAATGATGGTACTATGAGTAGACCTACTCTGTGAGAGCGTATTGGTTGGTGGGAGGTTATCGGTTGCAGCAGGTGGTCTCGTAAGTACTCAGGTCCTAAGCCATGGAGCACTTTCAAGGTAAGAACCAACACCTTGAAGCACACTCGGAAGGCCACTGGAAGCCAGTGCAGCTCGCGTAGAAGAGGTGTTACATGTGAGCGCCATGTTGCTCCCATAATTACTCGCGCAGCCGCATTCTGGACCAGTTGGAGCTTCCGGGTGCACTTCAAGGGGAGCCCCATGTAGAGAGCATTGCAGTAGTCAAGTCGGGAAATGAGGGCTTGAGTGACTGCGTAATGAGTCCCGGTCTAGAAAGGGACGCAATTGGCGAATCAGGCGAACCTGATGCTGAAGATGCTGAACTTGTCGATCGGAAGGTTGGCAGTTCAGCGGTTCGAATCCCTAGTGCCGCGTAACGGAGTGAGCTCCCGTTCCTTGTCCCAGCTTCTGCCAACCTAGCAGTTCGAAAGCACGTTAAAAAAATGCAAGTAGAAAAATAGGGACCACCTTTGGTGGGAAGGGAACAGCGTTCCGTGCGCCTTTGGCGTTGAGTCATGCCGGTCACATGACCATGGAGACGTCTTCGGACAGCACTGGCTCCTCGGCTTTGAAACGGAGGTGAGCACCGCCCCCTAGAGTCAGGAATGACTAGCACATATGTCCGAGGGGAACCTTTACCTTTACCTAGAGGGTCATTGAAGCACTTGGAGGTTTCTCTGTGTCTTCAGGATCACCCGAGTGGTGCAAATGGTTCTTGTAGTCTGCAATTTTTTTTCTCCTCTGGAAATCCATTCCTGATCCCACAACATTCAAAGGGTCTTCATCCCAAATTATATAGCTAAAAGTCTGTAGAGATTCTCAGTCCTCCAGGTCACGCTTGTCCCAAAGGTGCTTTTTCAGGAGGCAACTGGACTTTCTGGTTTTCTCTTTTGAGAAAACAGCCATGACCTGGAGGACTGAGAATCTCTACATACTGTAGAAGAAGCAAATTAAACTCAAGGTGAGGAGAATAGAAGTGCTTGGGTTAACTAGAAACCTCATCATTCTGGTCTTGATATGCATCTCTAAAGAGAGAAATGCCTGTTCAGTATCCCATAAATTAAAAGGGATTAATAATTCTTGGAATTAGCCTGTTTCTGCCCTTTTAAGATCTTTTCTTGGGAATTATTCGGTTTACTCTTAATCTCAGCCTGGAGTTCATTATATTACTAAGGCATATGGTTAAGGGGGCTATTTTAAGCTCATTTCAGTAGAAAAGGCGAGTAGAAGGTCAAAGCACTTGTGCGGTATAAATGCTTAACTGTATTTTTAAATACGATGGGCACTGGACAACTCATGACTCACTGGGTCAGCCTTCCAGAGACATTAAATTAGCTAAACAGAAACAGAATGACCACAGATGGAGAGAAAAGCAGTGGGAGTTGTAAATTTCTGATTTCCTGCTGGCTTCCCCATTGGCGTTGCTTGTGGGAGGCTAGCAGGAGCTTGGAAATCATTCTTCCTCCTCCTCCTCCTCCTCCTCCTCCTCCTCCTCTGATCCCTGGAACTGCCTATCACTTTGCTAAGGGGAAGAGGAACAAAGGGAGGCATGGAGTTGTAAATTTCTGATTTCCTGCTGGCTTCCCATTAATATTGCTTGTGGGAGGTTAGCAGGAACTCGGAAATCATTCTCCTCCTCCCCCCCCCCGGGAACTGCCATCACTTTGCTAAGGGCAGGGGGGAAAAGGGAGCCATGGACCATGAGGAAAACCCTCTGCATCCCATCCCAGCATACTCCCAAAGGCTCCTCTCTCCAGGGTGGAAGAGAGCTCACCTGTCGACCGCTGGCATGGCCCCCTCCCCAGCCAGGCCTGCTTCAGCAGAAAACATCAAAGTCGTTCCCTCCTCCTTCCTTCACCTCCTACATCGTTAAGAGGTTTCAAATTTCGACCTTGGTTCCCAAGCAGCAAACAGTCGCTCCCCCATTGTGCCTTGCCGGCTGCAGGGGAAAAAGCGGCAGAATCCGGGAGGGCGGAGTTAAAAGAGGGACCAGCCTAGAATCCCTATGTAGCCACAAGCAGATTTAAGTCTCAACCTCCCTTGAATTCCGCTGACCCTTATCTAATAATAATAAAAATAAATAATAATAATAATTGCAAGCAGGTGCTGACCGTTACTTGAGAATATTCCTGTGCATGGGCTGTTTGGCAATAAACCAATTTAATTGGACCTTCACGGGTGGACCTGGTCTTTCGGACCTGACAATTGGGAGCGAGAGCAATTTTTGACATCCTTCCAGCTTCCCCAGTGATTTTGCTTGCCGGAAGCTAACAGGGAGCATCGGCAATCACTCCTCCTCCTTGCTTGACTCGTGGAACTGCCTGCCACTTGGCTGGCGAGGAGGAGGAGGCCCAGAGGGAGCTGTGGATTGCAAGGAAGCCTGCACCCCCCCCCCCCGCTCCCATCCTGGGGTGTCTCCAAAAGCCGCCCCCCAGGCATGGATTGACCCACAGACACAATAAGAGAAATGTGAATGCTTTGCCTGTCTTATCACCACTACAGTAGTCCTGAACTTACAACCATTCATGTAGCGACCGTTCGAAGTTACGACGGCACTGAAAAAAGTGACTTACGACCGTTTTTCCCACTTTCGACCGTTTGCAGCATCCCCATGGTGACATGATCCAAATTCAGACGCTTGACAACTGACTCATAACTTACGACGGTTGCAGTGTCCTGGGGGTCACGTGACCCCCCCCCTTTTGCGACCTTCTGACCAGCACACCAGATTCACTTTACAACCGGGTTAACACACTTAACGACTGCAGCAATTCACTTAACGGCGGCGGCCGTGAAGCGGGATAAAACGGGGCAAAACTCACTTAGCAAGTGTCTCGCTTAGCGACAGACCGTTTGGGCTGAATTGTGGTCGCATGTCGTGGACGACCTGGAGACTTCCCTTGAACTGTTACGCCTCACTTGCCGTCTTGCCCGGCTTTGCTTGCGCTGTTGTGTCTGCAACTATTTTAATTGTGTATTTGGATCAAGCCACCCAGAATCTGCCCGAGTGGGTGGGCCAGAAAAAACATCCATTCATTAATAACGTCTGCGATTTCAAAGGGCCTTTTTTTTTTTATATAAATAAAGAGGAACGACAGATATATTGTTAGAAATAATATGAAGTTAAAAAAAACACAACTCTGAACTTCTGCCAAAGACGTCTTCATGCTTTATAGAAGATGCCTGCTGACCTCATCCTCGTGGAGAGCCATTTTACAGAAAGAAGCGGGGGAAAAATCTGTATTTTTTTTTTAAAGAGAGTTTTGAGGTTGGGTTTTTCTTTTTACGACGAAATGGCCCACGTAGCAAACCAGATCCCATCCATTTTTTTCCCCCTTAAAAACTTCTGAAAAAAAGAATAATTTCTAAATTTCTTCTTTTTCCAGGGTATGGCAGTAGATTAGGAATAAATTCTTTGATCACAGGATCAAAGCAGGGCAGTAGCTAAGATCATACCGTTGCATTACTTTTAAAAAGCTCACAACAGAAATTCTGGGGCTCAATTATGGTCGTAAGTCGAGGATTACCTGTGCAGCGGTACAGAGACCTTGCATAGAATTTAGGAAGATTTTGGGCCAGTCGCTCCCTCCTCTCTCTCTCTCTCTCTCTCTCTCTCTCTCTCTCTCTCACTCTCACTCTCACTCTCACTCACTCACTCACTCTCTCACTCTCACTCTCACTCTCACTCTCTTTCTCTCACTCTCTCTCTCTCACTCACTATCACTCTCTCTCACTCACTCTCACTCTCTCTCTCACTTACTATCACTCTCTTTCTCTCACTCACTCTCTCACTCACTATCACTCTCTCACTCTCACTCTCTCTCTTTCTCTCACTCACTCTCACTCTCTCTCTCTCACTCTCACTCTCTTTCTCTCACTCACTCTCTCTCTCTCACTCACTCTCACTCACTCACTCTCTCTCACTCACTCTCTCTTTCTCTCACTCTCTCTCTCTCACTCACTCACTCTCTCTCACTCTCTCTCTCTCACTCACTCACTCTCTCTCACTCTCTCTCTCTCTCAGCCCAGCCTACCTCACAGGGCTGTTGTTATGTGGAAAATGGAGGAGACTTTGCATTAGATTCGTTCCCCACTTTGAGTTATTTGTAAAAATAATAAAGGTAGGATGCAAATAAAGAAATAAATAAGAGGGAACCTCTTTGTATAATAAGAACTTTATCCAGAAAGGTAGGACAGAAAATTATATTTTTTTTTTTTTTTAAGATGTAAATGGATAAAATTTGGAACAAAATTGGTTGAGGGAATGTGAGTAATTGTACCTATTTTATACCGGATCAAATCCTTGCTCTAAAAAGATGTATTTTATGTTTTATGTCTAAAAAAATAAAATTCAAAATAAAGAAATAAATAAGAGGGAACCTCTTTGTATCGTAAGAACTTTATCCAGAAAGGTAGGACAGAAAATTATATCCTTTTTTTTTTTTTTAAGATGTAAATGGATAAAATTTGGAACAAAATTGGTTGAGGGAATGTGAGTAATTGTACCTATTTTATACCTGATCAAATCCTTGCTCTAAAAAGATGTATTTTATGTTTTATGTCTAAAAAAATAAAATTCAAAATAAAGAAATAAATAAGAGGGAACCTCTTTGTATTATAAGAACTTTATCCAGAAAGGTAGGACAGAAAATTATATCCTTCTGGACAGTGGAAACTTGCTCTCCCGGAGGGCAGCTTCACTTGCAAGAAGTGATAAGATGAAAAGATAATTACAAGTTTTATTGGTGGGTAGGAACTAACAGGAAGAGAGGCTGACAATTCCCCCATCGCCCACGGAAAAAAAAAAATCTTTTTCTTTTATAATAATAATAATAAATATAATTGTGAGTTCAGGAGCCCCAGCCGGTAGGTATCTTATTGCATTAAGTACATTCTTGAAATAATTCCAGGTGTCAGGGTTATATTAATATATGCCCTTGCCTTCATTTTCTTTCTTTTCTTTTTTCTTTTCTTTTCATAAACCCTTTTCATCACTTACACAAGTAAAAGGACATTTTTGAAACCTATCATTTACATGTCAAGTCGGAATGACGTTCGTGGCCAGAATGACATTCATCCCGCTGGTTTATAACTATCTTTCTTTTTTTTTTAAAGAGAGTTTTGAGGTTGGGTTTTTCTTTTTACGACGAAATGGCCCACGTAGCAAACCAGATCCCATCCGTAGATATTGAAGCATCTTGCATAATGGCTGTTTTTTTTTCCTCTCTTCTTGCAGAAAAGGAAGCGGAGGGAGAAAGACGATGACGCAGTCAGTATTTGTAGCTTCGATCTGAAGGTAATTAAAATATTTTACCCTGAATTTACTGCCCATTAAAAACGCAGCGGCTTTTTGAGTCCAAGCGGGAAGAAGTTCGCGGCTCGTTTTCGTCTTGCTCCTGACCCATCGGACAAGAGAAAAGCCAGGATTCTTTTAATCTGTCTCCTCAATCTCTAGTCGATCCCTGAATGCAAACTGAACTGGAATTAGGAGAACAGAGCTGGAAGGGGCCTTGGAGGTCTTCTAGTCCAGCCCCCTGCTCAAGCAGGAGAACCCATACCAGTGCCAAAAGTGAGGGGAGTGGGGGGGGGGTCGGCCGCACGCGTGCCCATACCCATAATTCTATGCGCCCCGCCCCCACGCATGTGTGCGTGACCCCTCCCTGCGTTTCCCCCGCTTTTGGCATGTGATGGCACAGTGGGCCTGGTGGGCCCATTTTTCGCCCTCCCTAAGCTCCAGAGCCTTTCTAGGAGCCTGGGGAGGGCAAAAACTGCCTTCCGCACCCCCTCCAGAGGCCTTCCGGAGGCCGGAAACGGCCTGTTTGCCGACTTTCCAATGGGCCCCGAAGGCTCAAAAATCAGCTGACTGGCGTGCGCATGTGCAGCAGAGCTGAGCTCGTGTGCCCATCGATATGGCTCTTGTGTGCCACCAGTGGCACGTGTGCCATAGGTTCGCCATCACGGACCTCTACCATTTCAGATAAGTGACCGTCTAGTCCAGGGGTGTCAAACTCGATTTCATTGAGGGACACATCAGGGTTGTGTTTGACAGGGGGCCAGGGTGGGCGTGGCCAGCTCGGCGACACTCCTGTCGGGTGCCTGTGGCGGCCCGAGCACTCTGCCAGCGGGGAGGCCGTGGCGGCTGAAAATGGAGCTTGGGAGCCCGCTTTCGCTGGCAGAAGCACTGCGGACCAGTCCTTCACTGTTTCCAGGGCGGCCCCACGGGCCAAATCTAAGTACCTCGCGGGCCAGATCCGGCCCCCACAACTGCTTGCCACCAGAAGCTGTGAATGCTCCAACACTGGAGGTTTTTAAGAAGAGATTGGACAACCATTTGTCTGAAATGGTATAGGGCCGTGATGGCGAACCTAATATGGCACGCGGAGCCATATTAGTGGGCACGCCAGCTCAGCTCTGGGGCGCATGCGCACACCGGCCAGCTGATTTTCGGGCCTTCTGGGCCCACCAGAAGTAGGGAAACAGGCTGTTTCCTGCCTCTGGAGGGCCTGCGTGTGGTGGGGGGGGGAAGGCCCATTTTTCTTTCTTCCCTGGCTCCTGATCCTCTCTATTTATCTGGGAAGGGCGAAAACAGCTTTTCCCGCTCCCTTGGAGGCCCTACGGAGGCTGAAAGGGCCCATTTCCCGACTCCCGGTGGGACAGGAAGTGACGTTTTTTGCTGTCCCCAGCCTCCAGAGGCTCCTAGAGACTCCGAGAGAGGCTCTGGAGGCTGGGGACAGCAAAAAACGTCACTTCCTGTCCCACCGGGAGTCGGGAAATGGGCCCTTTCAGGCCTTTGGAGGGCCTCCAAGGGAGTGGGAAAGGCTGTTTTCAGTCTTTCCAGATGCATAGAGAGGATCTGGAACCAGGGAAGAAAGAAAAAAGGGCCTACCAGGCCATCATGTGCCAGGAGCGGGGTGGGGGGTTTGCACACGCATGCATGTGGGCATGTGCACGCGCAACCCTCCCCCGCCCCCCCTCTCCTGGCATGCGATGGCAAAAAGGTTAGCCATCACTAGTATAGGGCTAGTGCCTGAGTAGGGGGTTGGACTAGAAGACCTCCAAGGTCCCTTCCGACTCTGTTATTCTGCAATTCTTTTTCCTTCCTTCTTTCCTTCCTTCCTTCCTCCCTCCCTCCCTTCCCTTTTGCTCCTCCCTTCCCCTTTCTCTCCTTCCTTCTTTCCTTTTTTCCTTCCTTCCTTTCTTCCTCCCTCCCTTCCCTTTTGCTCCTCCCTTCCCCTTTTCTCTCCTTCCTTCTTTCCTTCTTTCCTTCCTCCCTCCCTCCCTCCTTCTTTCCTTCCCCATCACTGGAGGTTTTTAAGAAGAGATTGGACAACCATTTGTCTGAAATGGTATAAGGAGTTCCTGCCTGAGCAGGGGGTTGGACTAGAAGACCTCCAAGGTCCCTTCCGGCTCTGTTCTTCTGTTATCTGCGCACAGCCCTCGTCCTTTCCCTGTATGTAAGTCTGCATATCCTTGGCAATATACAAAAAAGTAAATATTGTGAGATTTGAATCCACTGAGCGCTTGGTTCTTAAGAGGGATTTAGGTCAGGGACAGCCTCTGTCTGGCTTTGAAAAAGATGGGGTTCTTCCATTTTTTTTAAAAAAAACCCATAACATTATATTGCTTCTACTTCTTGTAAGACAGAAGACCTTGTAAGAAAATAAACTTTGAAAACGAGACACAGTTCTTCGGGGAAGTTGTATGCCTAATACCTAAAAGTTTGTTGATGTTGTCGTTTTAGAGCGCAGTCTATTTCTTAGAAAGTCAGTTCCCAATTATTATTGAATCATCTGGCCACTGATGATTTCTTCCGAACTTTCAAAAATATAAATTTCCTAGGAAGAGATTTCTGCTTTCCCTGGTCTAGGGTTTCGGGTTAGGTGGCTTCAGACCACAGGAAGTAAAATCTGAAAGGAGAGTTTGAGGTTTGATAGGAAGCATCATTGAATTTCTCTCCTGGAATTGTACGTATCCCACGATCATCGTTACCCTCGTTTGAAGGATAAATGAGGAGTCCTTGGGGCTCTCTGAGCTTGGTGCTTTTCTTGCAGACATTTCATTACCCAAATTAGGTAACCACATCATCTGATCTGCCAGTTGACTAGCACTCGTGATGTCATGTAGTTTGGGTGATAAAATGTCTGCAAGAAAACCGTTTAAGCTCAGAGAGCATTAAGGACTCCACGCAATCCTCCTCCTCCAACCCCCCCACCCCCCAAAGCACTGATGATGTTAACTAGTTGGCTCATGAAATGCCTGCAAGAAAAGAACCAAGCTCAGACAATGCCAAGAGTGGTTCTCCTCCTCCTTCTGCCCCCTCCCTGCAACCCCCCCCCTTCTAGCACTGAGGATGCTACTTAGGTTGGATCATGAAACGTCTGCCAGAAAACCAAGCTTATGGAGCACCAAAGACCCCACAGTCGTTTTCCTCCTCCTCCTCTCCACAAACCCCACTCTCTTCCAGCACTGATGATGTTCTCTAGTTGGGTCATGAAACGTCTGCCAGAAAACCAAGCTTATGGAGCACCAAAGACCCCACGTCGTCGTCCGTCCTCCTCCTCCTCCTCCTCCTCCTCCTCCTCCTCTCCACAAACCCCACTCTCTTTCCAGCACTGATGATGTTCTCTAGTTGGGTCACGAAACGTCTGCCAGAAAACCAAATGTCAACTTGCAAAGCTTTCAAGTTGCCGTGAGCAGGAGGGAGGGAGAACTGAAGTGAATGCCATACATTCTTCCTGACCGCAATCGGAAGGAGGGTGTTAGGTTTCACAGCCAGCCAAAGTGGTTAATTGGAGAATGTGATTTATGACATGGCCAGAGAGGAGGGGAGAGACAGGGTCATAGGGGAACGTAAATCTACGCAGGATCTGTCCTAACTGCATCCCAGTATTGCCAGAATGTTGCTCCTAATAAATGACTATATTTCCTTTGAAGTTTGGATCGTGGCTCATGAATTAATTCGGGCATCTTTCGGAAACTTGACACCAAGCTTGCAGAGCACCAAGGACCCCGCTGTTGTTGTTGTTGTTGTTGTTGTTGTTGTTGTTGTTGTCCTCCTCCTCCTCCTCTCCCAATCCCTAGCTCTGATGATGTTCCCTAGTTGGGTCATGAAACATCTGCAATCAAGTAGCCAAACTCAGAGCACCAAGGACCATACAGTCCTCCTCCTCCTCCTCGCCCCCTTTTCCCCTTCCACAAACCCACTCCCTTGAGCCCTGATGATGTTACCTAGTTGGGTCATGAAACGTCTGCAAGAAAACCACCAGGCTCAGAGAGCATCAAGGACTCCACATCGTTCTCCTCCTCCTCCTCCTCCTCTCCCCCCTTTCTATTCCACTCTGCAAACCCCACTCCCTTCCAGTACTGATGATGTTACCTTGTTGGGTCATGAAACGCCTGCAAGAAAATCACCAAGTTCAGAGAGTGCCAAAGGCCCCACATTTCTTTTCTTCCTCCTCCTCCTCCTTCTTCCCCTTCTCCTCCTCCTTCTCCCTCTGCAAACCCCACTCCCTTCTAGCACTGATGATGTTCCCTAGTTGGGTCACAAAACATCTGTAAGAAAACCGCCAAGCTCAGAGAGCACCAAGGACCCCCACAGTCCTCTCTTCCTCCCAAATCCTTCTAGCATGGATGGTGTTACCTAGTTGGGTCATGAAATGTCTGCAAGGAACAACCAAGCTTGCAGAGCACCAAGGACCCCACGGTCCTCCTCCTCCTCCTTCTCCATCTCCTCCATCTCCACCTCCACCTCCACCTCCTCCTCCCTGCAAAACCCCTCTCCCTTCTAGCACTGATAATGTTACCTATTTGGGTCACGAAACATCCACGAGAAAACCACCAACTCAAGAGAGCCCCACGGATCCCTTATTTCACCCCCGACCTACAAATATTCTCCTTGATCGGAAGGATCCATGGCTGTTTTATTTCACCTGGGGGAGATACCCGTCTTGGCGAATTGATGCTGCTTATCAATGCCAGCCAAAGCCGCCTTTTTCCTCTCTCACGCCAGGCCTGTCTTCAAGCTTGCTGCTGTGGCACTCCCTAAAAATGTCAGTTTTCTGCGCCAAACCTCCGCCTCTCCTAAATCAACACCTTACCTCTTACCTTACCTGCCCTTTCCTGGGCCTGCCCCAACTTCACTACTGAGCCCTTTTCAAATCTCTTTTATTTATTTATTTATTTTTGTCTTGTCACCACTGCCTGAAGCCAGTTGTACCTTTTTAAAAAATTTTATTTATTTGCACAGGCGATCCTCGGCTTACGACCGCAAATGAGCCCCAAGCTTCCACTGCTAAG